CTGCTGCAACCTCCACTTCCAGCCCGGAGAGGGTGTGGGGGTGGAGAATCCATCACTGCGGCCTCAGTGAGAAATTGCTGAAATGGCACTTTAGCCATAAAAGGTACTTAGTCGCCTCGGGAAGCTGAACTATGAGGTGATGCCAGGTGGAACAAGATTGGCATAACGCCGCCCACATCGTGTGCCTCAAGCTGTACTACGTACAATAAGACTGAATTGTGATCCTGTGCAACACTTGATAGGACTGTGTTCTGACAGCCTCTGTACTTTCATTTCATTTCATTTATTTTCACCTTAAAGGGGTACTCCGCCGATTTTTTGAGCTACCTCAACTAACTATATTTTCTGACTCCCCGGCCTTTACTCTCTCCGGTATGCTATTTAGAATCGCGAAATTCATAATAGTTATTGCGAAATCGGCAAATGAAAATGATGCAAAAACAGACATTCAAATATACCCACCCTTTTCAGGGCCGTGACGTCAGTGGAAGTTCAGCTTGCCAGTCGGGCGAGCAGTTTAAAAAATAGAATATGCCAATTATTTGTTCCGTGCTGGAGCGCGGGGACTGGAGCGAGCTTCCAAGGCATTCATTTGACACCATGAAACTGCTTCAAATCAGTTGGGAACAAATTCTACAGTCCAAAGAGTGAAACCCTGCACTCCCAATGACGTCACTTTTTCATTGTTGCCAGTAGAGACTTTCAGTTTGAAAAACACGGTGAGGACCGAAATTGTAAATTCAATAACTTCGTGAAAAAAAATTATTTTGACCTAATATTTGGGATACTATTTTGGCGATGTTGTTTGGCGAGTTTAGCAAAATTTTAAGCAAATCGGGGACCATGAAGAAATCGGCGGAGTACCCCTTTAAGGGCCCGCTTAGGGCATTGCATAAGGGGAGGGCAGTAGAACGAAGAATGCAATAGCAGACGCAGTAGTAGAATAGTAACAATAACTATAAACAAGAGCATGAAAAATTATACGTAATGAACTAGTAGATTATCGTAAAACACTGTTCCATCAGAGGTGCTGGCGATGGAGGATGGCAACTGGTTGCACTGTGTGATGGCATATGGGAGGAATGATTCGTTGAATGAGTTAGTTTTACCAGAAATATGTTTTATTGCATAAGAGTTGTTTAGACGGGAGGATATTCTATCGGGGGGTGAGAGCAGGGCGTTCTTTAGTTCTGGGCAATGATAATAAATTTTATGAAGAAGGCATAAACGGGAGTTTCCTTTAAATGAGTAAGGGTACAAGCCCGAGTTGACTTTTTAGAGGAGAGACACTAGCGAAGTGGTCGTACGATGATAAGATAAATTGGGCGGCTCGGTTTTGTACTGACTCCAGGTGATTGATTAGACTTGATGAAGACTCCAGATTGCAGATGCATATTCTAATTTTGGCCTTAAATAAGTTTCATATGCCAACTTTCGGACTTGGGGAGGGGCGTCTCGCAGGTTACGTCTGATGAATCCGAGGGTCTGGGAAGCCTCTGCAGAAACGGCTTCAATGTGAGGTTTCCATGAGAGGTCAGGTGTTAGTCTAAGTCCAAGATATTTATACATTGAAACTGATTCGATCACGTCTTTGTCTAGGGTATAATGGAAGGGTAATCGAGTTTTCTTGCGGGTAAAATGGATTAGCTTGCACTTAGATTTGTTAAGCGACATGAGCCATTTTCCGCACCAGTCGTTAATTTTTATGAGATCATTTTGAAGCAAAAGATTATCAGTGTCTGTTGAGATGGTGTTATAGATGACGCAATTATCGGCGAAAAGTTATATTTTGCAGATGTTATGTGGGAGGTCGTTAATAAAAATTAGAAAAAGCAGTGGGCCAAGGACGGAACCCTGAGGTACACCTGAAGTGGCGTTTGTTAGCTTTGATTGATGCTCGTTAACAACCGTGTATTGCATAAGAGACGCAAGAAAGCTGCTAACCCATGAATATGCAAGGGGATCTAAGTTTAGGGATGATAGTTTAGAAAGCAGACGTTGATGGGGAACACGGTCAAATGCCTTTGAAAAGTCGAGAAATATGGCGTCGGTTTGTATATGGCGTTCTAGGTTAGTCTGCAGTTCATGAACAAATTCACATAGTTGGGTCTCGCAGGAGAACCCCCTACGAAAACCGTGCTGGTGCCTGAAGAAAAAATTATTTGACGTTAAGTGAGTCTTGATGTTAGAATACAAGATGTGCTCAAAAAGTTTTGACGCAATGCAGGTTAAAGAGATGGGACGATAGTTTGAGGCGGAAGATCGAGTTACATTTGTGGACTGGGGCGATCCTCCCAATCTTCCAGTCGGAAGGCAGACAACTCTCGGAAAAAGATTGATTAAAGATGAGACTGAGAATTTCACCGGAAATGTTGGCTGTATTTTTTAAGATCTTTGCATTAATATTGTCTGGACCTGCTGAGGAAGTGAGCGGTAGTTTTTCTATTTGCTTAACAATACCGGATGAGTTAACAGTAATCAGCGACATGGGATCATAACTCTTCAGGGACAGTTGGAACATTTTGTGGGGATTCAGTGGTAAACAAAGAAGAAAAGTAATCGTTAAGCACTACAGGGCACTCCCTCTCCGGTACAGGCTCACCAGCATTATCCTTCCGATTGATATTCACGTGGCCACTTTTAGGTGACATAAGCTTCCAGAATTTTTTTGGATTATTTTGCAAGAGTGCGGGCAAGTCCTGAGAAAAAAAATTTAATTTTAGATAGCTTAATGGTTTTGGTATAGTTTTTGAGCGTAGTGTAATAAGCGTCGCAGGCAACAGATAAGTTAGTTCGTTTTGCCCTTGCAAACAGTCGTTTTTTCCTATTGCACAATGCCCGGAGCGCTTTATTATACCATGGATTCGAAGAGTCCGTCCTAATACGTAAGGTAGGGACGTATAATCTAACCAGATCACTTATTTTATTGTTGTAAAGTACCCAGTTTTCCTCAACAGATCTTATCGAGAATTCAGTTACTTACAAGCTAAAAAAATTTTATAAATCATTGTTCATTGCTATGTAATCGGCTTTATTATAATCATGAATAATTTTACAGATTGGGTTTTTGACAAATACCGGGAACGACAGGTCAACGTGAAGGATACTATGGTCGCTCAAACCGTTACAATGACTTACTGTTATTACAATGTCTGGTGATGTAGTTAAAATAAGGTCGAGAATGTTACCAGAGCGTGTCGGTTGGTTAACCACCTGTGTCAGATTGAAGGTTTGACACATGTCAAAAAATTTTGTCGATGTGCGTGACCCATCAGATAATACATTGACCCAATCGATTAGTGGAAGATTAAAATCACCAAAAAGCAACAAGTCAGCTTTTGGGAAACGGTTTTTAATATCAACTAATATGGAGGAAAGAGTGATGGTGAACGATGAATCAAAAACAGGTGGTCTGTAACATACAGCCATAACGATTTTATTGGATGGCGTGCAAACACATACCGCAGAAAATTCGATGCTTCTATTTGAAATCGTAACATCAAAACAAGAAATGCTTTTTTTATAGCTATAAGTACACCACCCCCTCTTCGAATGGCTCTGTCATGGCGAAAAATGTTTGAGTCATCGTTATAGGGGGAATACTTCTTTGTCATCAATGCTAGGATGAAGCCATGTTTCTGTTAGGACTACGATATCGGATTCACTGTCCGCCATGACGGCACAAAGATCATCGCACTTCGGTATGACACTTCGAATGTTGGTGAAAAAGAACAGAATGTAGTTGGTTTTTATCGCACGGTTCAATGTGGCGGGAACTGATTATCTTTCCCTTAGCTTTTTGCTTTGTTTGCTATGCATTTAACTCGACAACAGACTGTGAATCTTGATCAAAGAAACAGCATTTGTTACCGATGTGTAATTTATCAAAGCACACCCTAAAATATACGTTAATGCTCTTTCCGTACTCAAAAAGTGGCTCGAGCTTGTCGCATTGAAGCGGAAAAATTGTCGCGGACAGCAAAATCGCTTCCTTTCAGCTTAAACCCGGAAGCCAATATACTCTCTTTGTCCTTAAAACGAGAAAATTTGATGATAATAGGTCTGTTCTTGCCATCATGAAATTTGGCTAAGCGGTGCGACCATTCTAGATTGGAGGGGTCCAGCTGCATGCCCAGTTTTTCTGAGCAGAAAGCAAGTACAATTTTTTCCTATTGACTCTAAGTTTCGTTCAGAGCGTCAGGGCAGCCAAAAAAATTTTTTTTATTATTTTGTTTGCCTTGGTTTTTTCTTTTGACATGGCATTGAAAGAATGCTCTCTTTAAAGGGGACGAGTAATGTTATCCGTGTCAGCGAGCGCATGGATGGCTGAGTGGTTACTGCACCTGACTTTCGTGAGAAAACCCAGAGCTCGATTCCTGGGAGTTACGCAACTTTTATTTATTCTTTCAGTTTAATGTTATGGTAAATTCAAGAACTCTGTTGCTTGTTCAAGGTCTGTTCTAGTTGCTCAACCTTTTAGGCCGATTGTTCCAGAAGCCGACGCGTGTACAAAGGGGACTGCGTGGCGATCCGCAGTCTCGCCACAGCGTTCAAACCTGCTGTTTCGCTGACTTCGACACCCATGATGCTCTGTCGTTATCGTCTGTTTCCTTATTGTTTTGGGCACAAGTTCGCCCCATTAAAAATTTTGGTTTGCTCAGCTATTCCTTGTTCGTCACCTCGTCATTCGTGACAATTTATATCTTTCAGATTGTTTAGCACAGTATATCACAAAATCGAAATGCCTCAAGACAGGCGAAGGAGGAAAAGAGGAGCAGAGGAGGAGGAGGAGGAGAGGGTAGAGAAGGAGGGGCACACCCTTCTTTCCATGCCCTCCCCCTCCTCCTCCTCAAGTGTGGGAAATTTAGCAAAAATGTCCATCTAACTGGCAAGAGAGCAGGAGAGGAGAGTACGCCCTCCTCCTCCTCCATAGCCTTCCCTCCTCCTCCTCAAGAGCAGCGCTCTAATTTGCCATTATAGTGAATTGTAAACGTCTTCCATTTTTCTGCTGAATGTGGTATGTAATTTATTTCTGTTCAGCTGCAAAGATGCTAGACCTCCTCAGAGAGGGTTGGTACGGTTGTTGAGGCTGTCCAATGGTGGAGCCTCAGCATATTGGTCTTTCAGCTCTCCGCTCTTGTACAGTTTTTTCCTCTCTTCTTGGATCAACTGTGCCCTTCTCAACTGAAAAAGAAAGAAATTTTAAAAAATTATTAGCCACCTCAGCCTGCACTGTGCACCAAATACACTGCCTAAATGCATTAAATATTGACCCCAGTGTGAGAGCTATTCCCTATAGAAGCAGAGAGAGAATGTACCTAGAGCAGTTTCAAAAGCCATGTTGCTTGGCTTGCTTCCAAACAAGCATGAAATGCTGTGCGCACCCACCATTTCTCATGTATGAGAGCTAGCCAGCTCACCAAACTAGGTGGACAGCAAAGCTGCATTGACCAGTGTGCCCAAATTAGAAAGCCACTAGTAGAAGGTAATACAGCCTCAAAACAACCTTTAATACTGCCATATGAATTTTAATATGAAATGTGTTCAAGGGCTGGATTTTATGCAAAAGTGTATTTGGAAGGCATGATGAACGATAAAGCATGACACGCATGCCAAGGCAACATAAAGTATGCGAAACCCATAGCAGGCCAAGCATAACCACCCAAAGAATATAGAGGGCATACTTAATCATGATAATGATTAAGCACTGCAACCAGCCAGATTCACAAGGAGCCTGCAGGAGTAAAATCTTGGACTCTGTGATCCACAGTTCATCTTTCTTTGGCATCACAATGAAGTGAAAGTGCAAGCAGCTGGACTAAGTATGACTTGTCGCTTACGGTTGCCTGCAAGTGATACTTAGTGCAGCATACTTAGTATGCAGGCAATCATTGGGTGGGAAGTCATACCTAGTACAACATACTTTGTCCGCTTCAGGTGATCGTCGGTAATGAGTCATACTCAGCCCAGGATAACTAATTTGCAGACGACCCTTTGTGCGGAGTCTACGCTGTCCAGCATATATAGCCTCAAGGCAACCAGTGGGGGTAACTCATACTTAGTCCAGCATGCATAGACTGCAGACAATCATTGAGAGGTAGTCATACTCAGTCTGGCATTTTGAGCCTGAAGGAGGCTTGGCAGCGAGTCATACTTAGTCCAGCATACTTAGTCCGCAAATAGCCATAGGCTATAAGTCATAGTCCACCCATCATAATTAGTCCACAGGTAACTTTTGGCAGTGAGCCATACTCAGTCCAGCACACTTAATCCACAGACGACCATCAGTGGCGAGTCAACTCAGTCCAGCAAACTTAGTTCGCAAGTGACCAACCATAGCCATGCACAGCTGGCTTCCAAATGATGAAACAGCTCTCCATGTGGGCTTACAACATCATGAGGAGGATCACAACGTATGAGAGAACAGGCGTATGGTGCCAAAACTTTTAACAGCAGTCAATAGATAGCATAAAGGGCACGATAAACCTCCTTCCCTCATGATTTATTACCACAAGAGATTCTTTGCAATCCAAAAGCACTAAGAATTCAAAGCCCTAGACACACCTAAGGAAAAAGCAAAACCGATGAAAATCTGACTAGGGCATGCTCGACACACATTGTAGTCATAAATAAATATAGTCTGTACCTTCTGATAAACCCAGAGAACACAAGAATATATCATGCGTGCAGAACATCTGAAACCAGCCCAAGCTCCACGTAATCAAGATTAACTACCCTAAAATACCATGGAAGTGACCACCTCGATCTCAGTAAAAACTATGTTAATCTATACTCTGCTTCACAAAACTCGGCTACGACCCCCGACCCAATAAGAATGTCAGAGCGAGAAGTGTGACACCACAACTTGGCAGCGTGTGTGTAACTGCAAATGCAAAGTCTGAAAGAACCGGCTGTCATCTACTGGATAAGAGTCATCTGCTGTGATGCCAACCAACATTGAATGAACGTCCACCGCTGAAACACTGGCATCTGCTAGAGTAGCAGGATCTTCAGGAAAAGTTCATGAGACAATCATACGCTCAATTTACTTGCGAATCTGTGGGGGTGCTAATGCCAGGGCGACGTTTTGAGTGCAAGCATTTAATTACACGGCTGTGATCATTCAAACATTGTTCAAAAGCCATGTTGTTCTCGGAAAAGTGATAAGCCATATTAAGTATCGTCGGAAATTAACATGTCTTCGTCTTTCTTCTATGTCGTGTAGTGTTGCGGTCAGAAGAGTCTGGCCGCAACACCACTAACAGAAAAAAAAGCCTAGAACTACATTTTGTTGCCGATGGCATTGCAGTGGTAGTAACGAGACCTCCAAGGCCTTGACCACGGAGTGCTGGCACGTGCCTGGCTCTGACGCTCTTATTGGGTCATGAGAACCACAGCCTTTACAGTTTGCCAACTTATCATAAAACACAGTATAGGCAAGGGCACTTCTCTGGTCAAATCGGTAAAAAACAAAGTGGCAGCAATTAAAGAGCTTAGAAGGCACAACGACTGGCATCTGAGAAAGCACATTTAGTTTTACATAATTTCCCCATCATAACCATTGGCAGTCTCGTGGCCGACGCAATGGGCCAAATATTTCTGGCTGATGCCGGCGCTTTAGAAGGTGTGCGCTTAACAGAATTTGCGAAATTCCCAGGTATCGAACATGCTATAGTGGGCACTAGTACGAAGTGGGCACTCTCGCAGTATTTCATGGTAGACATAACACACAATGTATGCTCGACACAGACTGTGCTTCCCAGGTTTGTAAGAATGATAGAGGAAACTTAATTTTATTGTTTTTGTAAATAGCAATGCAGGAAACTCCAACCAGGATTAATGATCCCATAGCATCAACGTATACTGCCCTTCTGCATGCAGGTAACTTATGCAGAACCTTCATATCCTCACGAGAATGTTCTGTTCAAAATGACACTAGCTTGATCATGCTGACAAAGGCCAAGAAGCATAAAATATGTTGTGAATGAGATGGGCACATGCTGTGTGACATCAGATGTCATGAGGTCGCATGACTGTGGCACCAGTCAGTGAGATGTGATTTCATGTGGGCATCATAAAGACATACACATGATGTAATGCTGATGTCTTAATCACATCAAAGTTGTGTCCTAATGACATCATGGTGCCACGTGACATCAGTCCTGTGTGACTGTTCTATATGACCAATATTTGTGATGGGACTTTCTGATGGTTGTTCATGACAGGCCTCTCATAAAAAATTGGCTGTCAAAACGTTCTCTGTGCTGAAACAAGAATGATAAAAATCTTAATATATAAAAATTTAGATTCACAATGTATCTACTTCTCTACATAATTACTGCCCACATTTAGGCAGTTATCCTAGCGTGGTAGAAGATTTCGGATGGCCGTGTTGGCATGTCATAATTGCATTTCAATTATCTAAAAGGTGTGTATATTAAAAAAATTTTCATCACTCGTTTTATTATCTAGTTCATCAGGGGTTAAAAAGCCCACTTTTCAGCTTCTATGTTCATTGGTCAGCACACCCATCTACCATAAAATTCCTAATGAACGTCCACCCACGGTGAAGATATTAAAAGAAATATGAAGTGGGAATTCGTTTAATGTTGTACTGTTAGACAGTGAACAGAATTGCAGCATTTGATGTTAATCATCTGGAGGAAAACTCCACAGTGAAAATGTCAGATGGCAACTGTTAACATTAATTTGCTCTACTGATGGATAGCTTCTGGTCAGCTTGGAGAGGTCTCAGGATCAAACCAGAGACCAAACCAATTCTTTCAGCAGCCACTAACCACCTATAGTCATACACAAGAGATGAACAACAGAAAGAAGCTTCAGATGTCCTGCCTCCAGCACAAGCATTTTACTTTTGACAATGCTTCGGCGTTTCATGCACCTCAAGTGAGTGAATGCAACTGAAGCACGGTGGAAGGCACTGAGCACACACTGGAGGAATTCAAAAGACACCCTGCCATTCTCATTCTGGCAGTGACTATAGAGGGTGTGAATTGCACTCCATCTCAAGTGGAAGTGCTTTTGTGAATAGCATTGCCACTTAAGGCGAGACACTGGTTCTAAAATGGACTATTTTATTTTTGCAGCGATACTAATGAAAATCACTGTGCGTATGTGTTCCTTCTTCCTCAATTCAAATATGAAATCAGTTTCAAAATATCTCAATTAGTTTTCAAGTTATAAAAAATAGCGTTGCCCAATTTGGTTAATTTCTTACGGGTTGTTAAGGCCATTTCGAACAAAAAATATTTTTTATTGATGTAGATGCATAGCTAAAGGTCTGCCATGCATTATAAAGCTATTTATATTTTCACAAAATTACATTATAATAGAAAAATGTGCTAATTATGCTATTTATGACACTAATGAGGTCACATCATAAAAATTTCTTTGTCATTATAAACTGCAAAAAAATAGCTTTACTCCGTAGTCCAGTCCTTTCTGAATAAAATGGTACAAAAAGTTTCAAAATGCTACGATAAAAACCTCATAAAAACCCCCGTAAGGCCAAGCACGTTGACAAAAAACATGAAGATGAGAAAATCAAAGTTAAAGTTTTGACATTGAACATAGAAAATTGTGTGAAGAATGATAAATAATAATTGCCACCAAGGTGTAGTGTAAGTCTTCATGAACAACTTTACATAAAAGATGATGTAATCAATTTATGGGAACATTAGGAAAAAAATATGAAAGAAGTAAAGAACGAGTGAAATGTTGATAAAAATCACATTTTCCTGTTTCGACGCTGACTACAATAAATTATGCGAAAACGCTTATGGAATAATGGTTATCAAGATGTAGTGTAGTGCATTCTGAACTAAGCAATTTAAAAATTGCAATAATTTGTTTTTAGAAGATTGCAAAAATGGTGAAGAATTACTGATATTGGCTAAAAATTGCTTCTAAAGTGATGAGCCGACAACTTTGGACAACGGGAGAGGCGAGCAAGAGTTTCAAGCTCCAAACCTAATTTTGTTTGGCCCTGAAAAGGGCCTTTGTTCAACATGGCACTGGAAAAAGCCATTACAGCTGTCCGGGGCTGTAATCTCGTGATGCTCCTGCCTGGTGTCGCTTGGAGTACCTTTCCTTCAAGCTACTGCTGCTCTGGTGCACCGTGTTTGCTTTACGTAAACGGAGACTGTCCTTTTCGATGCTTCGGC